CTTTTTCCAAACATTCCATTGAGTTCAAAGAAGAGGGAAAAAACATTTTAGTTGCTATGCGGATATTGTTTTGTGTTCTATCCATTTCACATTTCATATACACTTTCTTTTTCGCGCTTAAAGCATTCCGAAAAAGAATTTTTTTGTTTCTTTCCTTTTTGTTTAGTTTTCTTGCTCACCGAATGAGAAATTGTTATAATATACGGGAGATGGCGCTCTTCTCGGCTGGCGGATTGCCAAAGGAAAAATTAAACAAAATATTCTTTTCTGAAGGCATCGAAGATTGCGAAACGCCAACGCACGTAAAGATAATGATTTTATAGCTTTTATGCGAGCGTTTAAGTAAACAAGTTTAACGTGCCGTATAGTTTGTTTAACCAATAATACTCATTTTCATTATTATTTAGATACGTATGACGCTGTCAAAAGAGGAAGAACGTTGTCGTCTTTTCGGTGAGAACAAACACGGAAGATTATATCAATGCTGAATTAAATCCCTCTCTATGTGATTGTGAATTTACGTGAAATAAAATAATCGAAAATGAATTAGATTTCTTGGTTTTGTATAATTAATTATGTATACATTAAAATTAACGTGTCTGAGAATTATATTTTCCGTTTATACTCAACAGGTCGATGTAATAAAAACGTTTTTAGCTTTTAATTAAAACTCATAAGTTTTTATTTAAAAAGTCGTAAAATAATTAACTAAAAGAAAATATATTAATTTATCATCTATTTTGTAAGGTTCTATTGAACCTAAAATCTTGCGTGAAATTCTTGCTGTACTTACTAGACTGACAGCGAGTTATTGTTTAGCCTGAAACAAATCACAAAGTAGGTTAAAATAACATTTTTACTGAACAAATAGCTACAGCTTATGAGATAGAAGAACCTCAGTTATTTGCGGGAATTAAAAGTAACATAAAAATAGCAAAAAGTCTGAAAAGTTTCAGATCTTAACCGTCGCCAGAGAAAGAGTTTGCTAAGGCTTTTTGCGTTTCGCTCTCCCCTCAGATCTCAGTCTATCAGTCTGCTCTTGACCTCCCTCCAGCTATCCCTTTATTTGTAGCTTTATATTAAACATTGTTTTCTTACTGAATCCTTTTTCTGCATTTTTATTTTTATTTTAGCGTTGACAGCGTTGCAATCTCTTCTATTCAACAAATTTTACGTTCTTTCCGCATCATCAGTTTAGGACCTTGTGCTATTTTTAAGTAGTTTCGATTATTTTAGCAACTACACTCCTGCTTCGGGACTAAGGTCGAAAAAAGCTGACACTTTTCGATTGAGGTAGGCTTTTCGAGCCAGGTACTCTGGCGTTTCACCACTAGCATAAAAGGTTGTTTTCTTTGCACTTACGCCACATAAAGTTCGACATCAAAATCACAAAATTTTTAAAAGCTGCATAGCGACATAATTTTAGAATTCCTGATGCAGTGAAAAGTGTTGGCATACATTTTTACACTTTTTTTTCAATATTTTCTTGGTTTCTTATACTAAAGAGTATTTTGGGACTTAGGACTGACACAGTTGTGTTGTGACCACAGAAGCTCAGAAAAGTATAATAAATAAACTGTTTACATAAAATTTTTAGAAACTACTATTTTTCACTGCAAAGCATGCAGTTCATTTTTTGTTTTTGAAAATTCATTAAGTTAATGCTTTATGAATTAAATAAATGTCGCTTTTGAACCTTGCCAAGGTTTCGAATTCCTAGATCTGGCGGTTTTGAAATTTTTAATATCAAGAGTTTATTTTAACAGTATTTTTGTGGGCATATTCTGGTCACCATTTTTTGCGGATGTAGATTAAGAAGAGCCAACAAGTCCAGAACGATAGATTTTTGGTCGATCACAACCGACAAGAGATACTTTTAACTCGCAAACCAACTTAGATGATCCACAAAATAGTAACTTAAGAAAAAATAAAATTAGGAATCCTTAAAACGCAGTTAAAAGCTCAACGAAGCGCTTTAAAATGCTTTTGTTCTAATATGGAGGAGCTAAAATTTTGAGAGCTAATTTTTAAAAACTATTCATGCAATTTTTTACAAAACTTGGCAGTTGTGCATAATTTAAGTTGTAGAATCAAAATATGGAAACAAATCGGTATGTTATTTGAGAAAAAGTCTGAATTTTTGTCACAATACCTATGTTAGAACAGTGTAATATATATCCTAAGTCGCGCTTTGAAGGCATGGAAAATGCAAATTAAATTTCGAGAATAGAAGTAGAATGAGAAATATAGAACTGTCCTATTTTTTTTTTTAAATTCAAGGTGTATATCATGTTTTGATTGATGGTAGCTAATAAAAGCCATTAATCACCGATTTAAATCATAATTTTGTGATACCTTTTTAACTTTCTGAAAAGTGTTTTTTTCTCAAGTATTTTTGGCAGTTATTTCAGTATATATGTCATATGCAATTTTATTCAAGTCAGTGCTGTTTTATGTTTGTTAATTTTTTTTTGCCAATAAATATAAGCATTTATGATAATGTTTGAATATCTTTTAAACATTTTCATAAATGCTCAGAATGAATCAGAGTATTTAAGTTTAATTATGATGATTTTCTTTTTTCACTAAAAAATAATTTTTAATTATCATATTTGATGGTTCCTGGATTTAGCTTCATTTAACAGTAATGAAAAGACATTTCCAGTGTTTCTTAAACTCAGCTTGGAATAAAAAACGAAACTATCACCTATTTATGCTGAATATAATTTTTCATTTTTCTTTCATACTGTAATGGTGCAGTCTTTAATCAAGGTAATAAAATACACTCTTTTGCAAAAAAATCAAAACACCATGAAGGAAGTGGTTGTTTTTGATGAAATTGAATATCTGTATAGCTCCATACACAGATAATAAAATCATTAAAAAATCAAGGTCATAGTACCTGTTCATGGCTCGCAATCACCCATTGAGTGTTCAAAGTAGTAGTTGGTCGAAGTGCCCCTGGCGGCAATTCATGCTTAAATTCGTCGAGGCAAGGAGTGGTAGAGGTTCCGGGTGTCATCCTGCGACACATTCTGCCAGCATTCATCCGTTGTCAACTCCAGTATGCATATTTGTGATCCTGAATCTGACAGCCTACAGTCGCATACATGTTCGATTGGTGAAAGGTCTGGCAATCTTGCTGGCAGGAAGAATATCCCCACACAGAGAAGGTCCGATAACGAGTGGTTATGTGGCATGGCTTTCTTGTTGGAAATGTACCCAGGATGACATGCCATGAAGAGTATGCAACCGGCTGCAGGATGGTATCAAATATTGTTCAGATGTTAAAGAGTACAGCGATGACTAAGGATGCCTGTCTGTATAGACTAGACCCACACCATCACAATAGGTTTATGGCTGAGTTTGGGAAAATAAGGCTGATTGGACTTCTGGGTCCGCCTCCCCAGACATGAACACGATGGTCATCTGCTTCAAAGCGAAGCAGGATCCATTGCTGAACACTGATGGCAGCCATGATCATCGGCTGCGACACCACTCCAGATGACTCTGCCGATGTTGTGAGTAAAAGGCAAAACATCTTAAAGGCATCTGTGAGCGTAACCCCACCTCAGACAAATGCCGTGAGATGGTGGATGCTACCACGAGAGGTATAGACATGGCTGTATTCATGAATAGTCAACTGATACTGTTGAGCGTTCCGGGCTGAGAACGTCATCCTATTTGTCTTGCATTTGTGGTCCTTTGGAATCCACAGCCTTATTTCATCGGCAATTTGTTGTAGTAACCATTGCTACCAACATCTTGCACAGCAGTTGTCGCAGGGGCAAATATTGCTCTGTATGACCAACCAGCTCTGAAACCTACAATGCAACACATTCGAAGTCGTTTAGTTGTCTGAAGGTTTTCGATCATTGTTGTAATGGCATCTTTAGTTGCTTCTTTATGGAATTGCAATGGCAGCAACAAAAAAAGATAAATTTTCTGCCTCTGTTACTGGTTTTATACTTTGCGAATTGCACACTACAATGCATGCTATGATCACAATTCCTATTCACTTGCCTTGAAACTTTCATCCCTACTTGCATGTTCGATCAAGATGTTTTTTCATACCAAATTTCGTCACCAGAGACGTAGCTAGGGTTTTCAACACCCGGGGACAACTGAAGATTTTGCGCCCCTTTCTCTCTGCCAAGAAAGGAAAACATTTCATTCTAAAATTTAGTATCATCAATTTGGCACCCCCTGAATGCTGCTCCTGGGGACAGATGTTCCCCCTTGCCTCATCCTAGCTATGCCACTGTCTGTCACGATCGCAAAAGTCCTTCTGGGTGCTTCAGTTTTTTTTGCAAAAGAGCGTATTTTGCAATAGGATTATTAACGTTTATAGTATTAATAAATGATGCTTTGAACAACATGTATTGTATATCTCTGTCTCAGATTTTACCTGCACTGAAAAAATTCTGATGATAATAATAAAATTTTATAGCAGCAGCAACTATAGTTGTTTGGGTTAGAGTAGACTGAAGGGTACCCCTTGTATTATTGCTTGTGTGTTGTTTCGTTTATCACCAAGTTGTTGTTTCATTTAGGGTAACCTGAGTAATTGAATGTTCCCTAAATATATTTTTACCTAGAACTGTGTGCTCCTTTAACGTTTTAAGGGAAAGTATATCAATGTGTACATAGGCAAAGTCAAGGGAGTGTGCAATGCCAAGTTTGTGCAATTATTTGATTTTTTTTTAAGTGAAAATAGATCGATGTGTACATGGATAAAGTCAAGGGAGTGAGTGCGCAATGCCTGGTTTGTGTAATTCTGTGATTTTTTTTTTTTTTTAAGTGAAAATATGGGAATATGTCCCTGGATGCCGAGTTTGTGCAATTCTTTGACTTGTTATTTTGTCTTGGTGTAAAATCGCTGCTACACAAAGCCAAAACAACAAGTCAAAGAATTGCACAAACTCTGCATCCGTGTACCGTCCAAAATCACCAATTTTCACCAAGGGGTACCCATAAGTGTACTTTTACCATTGTTTATATAAGCATTCCTAATAAGCTTTATTTACAGAACATTTTACAGCTTGTAGAACTCCTAGGCGAATTCACTTTCAGGAGAAAAGGTTTTCTGGTTTTGTTCAAATGCAGTTGCTGTGCCTGTCAGGAGAAAAGTGATATCACTGACTGAAAAAAAAAATCATAATGATGGCATCAATATTTTATTGTATTTTAAAATAAGTTGAAAATGTCTATATGCATTTTAGAAGCCACAACATATTGTATTCAGTTTGCCTATTTTAATAAGCCTTGATCTACCACGGCTTTCTGCATAGCGTTTCTCAGTACTTTTAGGAATAGTAAGAAATTGTTGGAATGTAGTTAGTTGGTTCTAAATTGCAAATGCAAAAATACTTCAATGCAGAAGGTGTGCAATAAAATAATAGTATCTTAAGTCTGCCAAATAAGAACTGCAATTTTTTTTTTAAAATTTTTTAGACATAATTCTTTTTTAAACCCTACATGTGTGTGTGTGTGTGGAATACCATTTTGAAGATACTGGTTTACATATTATATATATTAAACATATATGGTTTATATATTTTTCTTTAAGAAAAATATGTAAGCCATCATGAAATATTTAAATAAAATATATGTGTAATCTATGTATGAAATAGTTAAACAAACAAACAACAAATTCTGTTTTAGTGAATTTCATTGAGTTAGGAATTTATGAAAAAACCAAAAAATATTAAAGGTATGAAAGTTTTAAGATCAGCATATGAATAAGGATCAAATGTGCTATATAGAAGTCTTGCATATGATCATTTTTAACTGGGGGGGGACAATTTGCAAAAATAAGCAAATATTTATATTGCGAATGTTGAAAACTATTTCTGATATTGAAATCATACAAATATTAAGTAGGAAAGATTATTTGTCATGTTTAAAATACATAAATTAACCCCTTCTAGGTTGGCATTGCATCTCATACGTTTGGTGTTTTTGTGCCTGTAATGTCTGTATCGCATGCCATGCGACAAAGTGAAAAATTCCATCTTTGAAACTGAATTAATTGCTACTCATACATGGCTTTAAATTCCATGATTTTTTTTTTATTTCTCATTATTGCTTAGAGATAGCACAACTGGTTCTAGTTTCTTCACAATTTTTGCAGTGAGATTTCCCACCTTGAATGTCTGTGTGATAACCGTTAAAATTTCAGCCTTTTTTTTTATAAAGCAATTTTTTTTCTTTTGATTAAATAAATGATTTTGGTTTTCTGATAAATGTATAAATGTGGTTTTTATGCTCTGATGTCCAAGGCAGGCTGTAAAGCTGTTTTAACCTTTTAACTGTCAAGTTATTTTAATGATTTGGGTGCATAAATTGTCAATTTTTTTTATTCCAAAATGAATGTTTGTCAAAGTCCCAAAAAATCAAAAAATGTGGTGTTTTCACTTTGACTTTAGGCATTTGAACCTTCAGTCAAATGCGTCATTTTGAACTGAAGCCGAAATAACATTGTATTGATATATATTCGGTAGACCAACCTGCATCATAAAAAAATTAGCCGAGTAATATTTGGGCATGACATTTGGAATACCAGTGCTGTGCCGGAGATATTTGGGTATGACTTATAAAGGGAACAGTATGTGGAAAAAGCATTTTTTATTAATGACGTATTTCTAATTATTATGTAGGTATTTATATTAAACACATAAAAACATAAAGTTAATAAATATAGTATCACATTGGATTTTTGGTACTACAGTAGAATCCAGAAATCCGCAAGCTTGGACCAGAGTTGTGCGGATTTCGGAAGAAAATAAATAAAAGTGCAAATAAATAAGGCGTACCTAGATACATTTAATTAAATATTATATACATTATTGTAATATCTTATTATATGCATTAAATTATTATTACATATATAACTTGATTGTTTATCATGTATTTATAACCAGCATCGAGGTTTGGCCGATTAGCATATGCAAAGATTTCAGTGTTAGAATCACTGTTGCGTAAAATTTCAATCTTTTCTTTATTTTTCTGTATATCAGACACAATTGCATCGACAATTCCATCCGATTTGCTATAAACAGAGGAGTAGCATCTGTTTCCATCTTTTGCAGAATTTGCACTTTTTGCATTTAAGGTCAATGCAAAGTGTTTACGTTCAACGCTGAAGCAGAAAATCAGGAGTGCGTTTCCAATCTGTAGTGTATTAAAAGGGGCGAAATAAAATTATTAATTTATAAAAAAAATATCAGGAAACAAAAAAGGCAGCACTAATAATCTCGTGAAATAACAAACGCCACAAAATACAACAACGTGAATCGTAACTGAAAAAGGTTAGTGAATCATCTCCTTTCTTAATCGATGCAGATGAGGGGGGGAAAAAACTTATTATGAGTCAATAATTGATAGTTGTTAGAATCATTATTATCAGTAAGTATTTTTTCTTCGATATTTGTACTCAATATGCGGGTTTCGGAACTTATAAACGAATGTTTATATTTTGAGAGCAAAGCGGATTTCAAGTCGGCGGATTTTCAGTATTGCTGTATCCATTTTGGGGCCGTAAAAAAATGCAGCGAAAATGGACGTGCAAAAGCGCCAAATCTAGCAAACGCACCCATTTCACAGCCACAAAATCTAGCGTCGTGCTGATTTCAGATTGCGTCATTTATATTAGTTCTATATTTAAGACACATGAAATTACTAGTTTAATTTTAAATCATATTTTGATATCCTATGGATTTAAACAATTTAGGAAAAGCCATAATGAAAAGTCCAATTAAATTTTGGGGTAAAGTGCAGAATCACCCCTGCTTCGCGTTTTTAAAAATTGCACATACTCGGTATCCAGTACACATTGACCTATTTTCACTAAAAAAAAATCCCAGAATGCACAAATGGCCTGCGCAACCCTTGACTTACGATGTAACATCGACCTATTTTCATTTAAAAAGTAAACGAAATTGACAAAACTCAATTGTTTTAAAATGTAAATGGAGCAAACAATAAGGGTTATCTGCACTTAGCGAGAATTTTTTAAAAGAAAAGCATCATTATTTAAATTATGTTGAACAACCAACGAGATGAAATATGCTTTAGCGAGAACTCTTGGTAGCGAAATAGCAAATGCACGCATCATTCAGTTATGTTAGCAATTTTTAGAATAAATTAGAATAATGATTGAAATCGTTATTTACTCTATGCTTCCATTCATCATGTTTAGCCTTCTTATAAAATTAATAATAAAAAGTATTATAGAAATTAACCTTTCATCTAATTAAAACATCAATCTTAAATAGTTATTTACTATTATACTTCCTTTCTTTCGTTAGGATTGCCGCAATTATTTTTGGCAGCAATAGTTTGGATATTTTTTACGGCCCTCAATAGTACCGTATTTTTTTCTAATTTAAAACTTGGGTGCATTGCAGGGAAAACTGGTGGTCATTGGACAGGATATCACATATTTGACCACCTGTAGGTCCATCAAAAACTGCTTAATATCAAAAATATTTTGCATTTTCGAATTCAAGATAGAACACATATTAATTTTCAGTGCTTTTGGGGGGTCAGAAATCTGAAAAAAAAAAAAAAAAAAATCCGACCAAGAAGGGGTTAAAATGGCAGTTTTTTTTTTTTTTTTAACATTTACACATGTAATAATAGAGATAACATTTAGACTTATAGTAATTTTAACATGTGATAATAGAGAATGAGTAAATGTTAATTATTTATCTCATTATATTTGGAATTTGGGGATCACAGGCAACAATTAACAATTATTTAACAGAATATATGATGTATATACTATAGCAAAAATTAAATCTGCAAATTAGTACTCTTATACGCAAATCTGCATTTACATTAGTGCCGCACTTAATCTCTGAAACAAAATACCATATATATCCATGTATAAATCAATAATTTTTTTTTAAATTCATTGCTACTGAAGTTTGGGAGTCAGCTTATAACCCCTAAAAGTTGAAAATGACTTACAAATAATTCCATCACAAAAATGAATAAGAATATTGGAACATAAATGCACAGCTCATGTTAACAAATCAACAAATGTTTTATGGCAATGTAACTTAAAGTAAGAGAAAATTCAAATTTAAAAATTTAAATCTAATAGCCAAGGGCTACACAAATGATTTAACATGAAGTTGATTCACAAGCATAACAATTTAAATGTCGAAAATGATAACGGAAAGCCGAAGAATACAATTTTATCTGATCTAACTAACCTAGCAACATGTTTTTGAGAGGCAGAAATACAATCTGTCTTACAATCCAAAAATCTCACCTTAAATACTCTTGAACTAATTTGCATTCTGGTAGGAAAACAAAGAGAAGTGACAGTAAAGATCTAGATCATTAAATAATTGGTCATTCAAAATAATAATAAAATTACAAATTGAACCAGCAGCCTCTAAGTGCATTCTAGTAAATATTCTGCATTCTAGTAAGATTTAGAATTAATTAAGACTTTACATTCCACACTAGACATGTTTTTAAAGATAAGTTAGAATTTGTTCGGTTTAGTAAAAGAAAAACAAGTGAGGATTATCTACCTAGGAAGGGATGACAGAAAAAAAAAAAAAAAAAAAAAATTAAAACACTCATGACAAATTTTTAGTGTTTCTTACAAATTCATCAATACAGCAAACTTTAGTAAAGTATGATGAATGAATATTTCCAGAACTTTTTCTTGTGTGCAGTAAGCATATTCAACTAATGAAATATCAAGATAGAAGAGAAGCATGCCATAGCAAAACATAAAATTAGCAAAGTAACAGCATAGATTTTAGTTAAGAGTCTATTGATTTCAAAAGTAAACAGGTACAGATCCCTCTTCAGGAGCAGATTTCTTTGCTTCTGATGAAGAAGGATCTATACCTGTTAATCCTCAAAACCGATACAGTCTTGATTAAAACCTATGCCAAACACAAGGTTCTTTCCTTGCTAATAATGAAATATCTATATGTAAATTATATGCAAAACAGTTAACTTAAAATGTATAAGTTTCATAGCTGGATGATTACTGAATGATAAATCTTAAGTTTTCTTTTTTTTATTTGTTGAACATATGTTAATTTAAACCAGGGCTTAATTTTCTAAGATTAGAAGTGCCAGAGCCC